GCTAATTACTCGCCACTTATGGGTTTTCGAGGTCATTTCTTGGTGCTTGTGTATTATTCTGCATGTACTTAAATAGTTAGGCTGGTGTAAGATGATTTGGCGCCCTAGCAAGCCTTTTTAGATGCGCCCCTGAAAGTTTTGATAAGCTAATGTAGGTACAGTAACACATACTACATTGTTTTCATCTTGTGGCTTTATTACTCACCCATGCAAATAACCAATATTGTTATTACATAAAGTCAATAAATTCTGACGTAAACTTCAGAGGTCAGGTAACCTTGCCTTATCCCGACAAAGACATGGAAGGCGGCTCAGCCGCCCTGGCAGTAAGGGAGGGGGAGGGATGGTGGGGTTGGGAGAAGGGTTCCTCAGATGTCAGCCTTCAGGTCACTGCTCGACAGTTTTCCAGGCCGCCAAAGATAAGGACCTGCTATCTGGGGTTAACGAATAATATTAAAAAGAAAACACCGTCTACCTCACCTCGCCTCCCTCCGACCCTCCACACTTCTAACATCCTGCTCCGACCCTCCACCACAGTGTCCACCACAGTTTTCCCTTCATTTTTAATTTTATCCAAGTTTGCCCTGAATTTGTGGCGCCCTCAGATGTTGGCGCCCTAGGCGATCGCCTAGTGGGTAGCGCCGGCCCTGCCTAGAGTCATGAACAATACTATGCCTCACCCTACTATTCTGGACCATTAGATTACATTATGCTTTATACAGAACCCAAGCGTATTATAAGGCATTTCTCATGTGTATTTAAATGATATTTTAATAACAGGAATGGCCGAAGAGGAACACGTGAATAAATTGGAAGTTTTAAAGCGAATGGTGAATGCTGGTGTAAAATTGAAAAGGAGTAAGTGTGTTTATCAGGCATTGGGAGTAACTTATTTAGGACATAAAATAAATGCTGAAGGACTGAACCCCTCTGATGAGAACGTTCTGGTTATTATGGATGCGCCCATTCCTTACAATGTCACTGAATTGAAATCTTATTTAGGACTCATAAATTTTTATGGAAAATTTATTCCAAACCTCTCTAAAGTGTTGTCGCCATTATACAGGCTCTTACAGAAGGATGTCAAGTGGCAATGGGGCCCAAGTCAGCAGCAAGCTCTGGCGGAATCCAAGCGGTTAATGGCGAATTCCTGAGTGTTGGTGCACTATGACAGCAAGACACCCCCGACGCTGTCCTGTGATGCCTCTCCATACGGCCTGGGAGCAGTACTGGCTCATCAAACTGAAGCTGGTGAGGAAAAAACGATTGCTTTTGCTTCAAGGACCTTAGGTACATCTGAGACGAACTATACACACCTACAAAAGGAAGGTTTAGCAGTAATTTTGGGGTGAAAAAGCTTCATAGTTACTTGTATGGATGCCATTTTTTTATAGTTTCTGATCACCAGCCTCTTAAGAGTTTGTTCAGTGAGAATCGTCCAGTTCCCATAATGGCTTCAGGACGTATACAACCATGGGCTCTGACCTTATCGGTATATGACTACACCATAACTTATAAACTGGGAACTCCGATAATACATGCCGATGCTCTTAGCCGTTTGTCCCTTCCAGAGGTTCCCAGGGGGGCCGTAGTGTGTTTGATGGAGCGCCTGGACAAATCCCCAGTTACTGTGAGAGACCTAAGATGTGGACGGAGAGGGACCCGACACTCTCCAAGGTAAAAGGTTATGTGTTACCCGGCTGGCCTGAGCACATCACTGAGGAGACATTGAAGCCATTTTTGTGGAGGAAATGTGAACTAAGTGTGCAGGATGGAGTGATCTGTGGAGGTCGAGGGTAGTAGAGCCAGAGCCAGGGAGAAGAGGGTTTAGGCCGAGCTTCATGAGACACATCCAGGGGTATCACGTGTGAAAAGTATTGCACGTAGTTATGTTTGAGGCCAAAAATGGATGCAGATATTCAGGTAAATGTGCAGCGTTGCCAGAGTGTCAATAGTCTTTTCCTCCTAAGGCGCCCCTTCATCCCTGGGAGCGGCCACAGCAGCCATGGTCTATGATACACTTGGACTATGCAGGACCATTCATGGGTAAAATGTTTCTAGTTATTATAGATGCTCACTCAAAACGGATGTATTTACATCCAACAAATTTTGCAACTTCATATAGCGCTATTGAGGAACTGAAGAATACTTTTGCTTCACAAGGTCTTCCAGACACAGTGATGACAGACATTGGTACTAATTTTTGTAGTATGGAATTTGAAGAATTTATGAAACAGATTGGAATAGCTCATATTAAGACGTCGCCATACCATCCAGCTTCTAATAGTTTAGCCTAAAGGACTGTTCAAATATTTAAAGAGTCTTTGAGAAAGATTTCTGGAGGCTCACTTGAGTCAAGAGTGTATAAATTTCTATTAAGTCATCGTGTCACTCCACACACCATAACGGGAGTTACACCGGCAGAACTATTAATGGGGCGGAAACTAAAGACTTGTTTAGGTCTGTTACGTCCGGATGTCGGAAACATGGTAAGGAAAAAACAAGAATTACAGAAGTTTTATCACGCTCCAAGTGCTAGACGTCGTGATTTAGGTGTGGGAGATTCTGTGTGTGTTTTCTCACCGTTTCAGTATGCCTGAGTCCTCCGTTTCCTCTCATGTACCTCAGAGAGACTGAAATTTCTGAATACCTCATATGGTGTACAGAGATTTGAAATTGAGAATGAATGCATGTGTATTACATTAATTCAATTATACCTACAGTGAGGTAAAGCATTCAAGGTGTATTGAGTATACAGTTTGTTGAAAGTAATCATACATATTTCTGTGTAGAATAATATCGTGTCCCACCCCGTCATATTAAGTGAATTTGACTTAGTTGTGCTTTGTTTGAATATGTAAGTGATCCAGTAACAACGTTGATGTCTTTAGTAAAGTGTTCATGTGCCATCAGTTTACAAGACTTATTTTATGACATTCGTGTCAACTAACTAACTCACTCTCACGCCCGACTCCTCTGTAACAGGTGCATGATTAGACCATGGGTGGTCATTGTATGCCAGGACGACGTTCACACCAGTATGGAGATGGATGAAGGCTGTTAAGATCTGATAGCTTCGTGGAACCCAGTGATGTGGTGAGCTGAGATCTTATGTACAGCCAGCCATAGGAGGTGGACAGAATGTTTGTTGTCCATGTGGAGTAAACACGACCAGCTCATAAGCATTGTTATGAGTACATACGATAAGTAGAGTTGCTTATTGTGGGTGTTATTCATCCGAAGATCCATGTATATAGTCTCCTCAGCTGTATGGGTGTTTGGAGTGAACAAGTGTACGAGGGTATCCACTTTACATCTCGGCGAATGTAACAAAGTAGCGTAGGGAAGCTTTTAGTCCTGGTGCTTACTAAGAGTCCTATTAGTAAGATAAATTCTCAGGTAACCCGTAAGGATGGTGCTCAAGTGTGCTGTATGTAAGATTATAGTGTTGTGAGTCATTATAAAGTAAGCCAAGTAATGGTGGATGTTGGAAGGTGTACCTAGTTGAAGAGTACAAAATGAGTGGAGCCAGGAAGATGAGCCTTGTAGTTTTGTGTCATTGAAAGAAGTCATAAGTCTAACCTCATTTTAATAAACCATTTTTTTTAATGTATGTTGGGAGTATCATTATCCCTGCAGTATTTACCTTTGTCTCTCGCCACATGTGGGTACAGTACCATGAACCCCTGTGTCTTGACCCTCGAGCCATACTGCCACAGGTAAGAGGTTAAAGGGTACTTATGAGAAGTAAAGTAACTAAGAAATAGCTATTATATGGAATTAATAAAGTAAGATATTGAAAGTAAATTTGAAGGAGAAAATTAAACAATTACAAAACCTTCCGTACCAATCCCGTATATGCGTTTCAGCAATTGGGGTCGGAAAAGGAATTTTGTTGAAATTCCATACAAAGGTTACCACTTTACATGCTGATTAAGGATCTGAGTTCGTAGTGTTAAATAAATAGATAGATAAATAAATACCCAGAGATAGGCAGTTGCAGGTGCTCTAATCTCTCAGGGTAACTGGATGTTGGTCCCTAACCCCGTCGTAAGTCGGGGAGTATATTGTATATTACATAGTTCCAGCAGTCCCTTTCTGAACTGTGATTGGTGAACTAATATTTTAACTCGCCAAATTACAGCCAATAGGAGAAGAGAGCCGTCAGTCAACACAACACCACAACTTATGTTTTCCTGTTGGATATTTATTCTCCTTTACATTGTTCATGAGGCTGTGATGGGCGGTGTATTTATTTGATGCTGCATCTCCCAGAGTTTTAAATAGTGCAAAAACCACTGCTCCCAGGGGCCTTCAGGTCTGGTGCTCCCAGAGCCCTCCTAAGTGGCGACGCCTCTGTAGGGTCAAAACCTATTCAGGCGCTGCTCCTGCTGAGCAGCTGTCCCCCTTGGCCAATGTTCGGCCCATTCTTCATATCAACACCCGAGGAAGAGTTACTGCACCACACCACCCGGTATCCCCAGGTCCTTCATACCAACAAGGACGAGTTACTACACCACGTGAACACCACACCACCTGGTGTGTCCATGACCAGTCCAGGCGGCCATCAACTGTAAACTATAACAATTTGTATGTTCATTTCATGTTCCTTCTCCTTTCTGTAATAAAAGCTTTTGTTAAATTACCAACCCACCCCATGTCTTTGTATGTAATAAGTCATTTTTGTCCAATGTATATTTTCAGCCTACGGGCTTCAGAGCTTTTTCAATAAACCGTTAATTCATATTATTATTATTATTATTATTATCATTATCATTATCATGATTATGATTGATTATGATTATGATTACTTAACTATGATTGGTGGATTGGTGGAACAAATGTAAATCCGTAAATATTAACCAATAGGAGAACAGAGCGGTCGATCAGCACAACACCCCAACTTATGTTTCCTGTTTGCTGTTTGTTCTCCTTTACATTGTTCGTGAGGCTGAATACTGTAAAGCGTTAGGAAGTGTGTTTGTACAACGTCATATCTCCCATTTTTCTGAATAGGTGCAAACAAACTGTCACCAGGGGCCTACAGGTGGAGTGCCACCTGGGAGTGTTCCCATTTTCCTACCAAGTCTGTGGTGTCCACAGGGGCCCTTCCAGAGGGTGTACCCTGAGGTGCCAGGGGCAGAAAAGGCTCACAGGTGCCCCTCCATGGAGGTGGCAGCAGTGGGAATGCTTCCTGGGGCAGTGGTGGCTACCACAAGGGACCTCCCAGCTGCGGCAGTGATCCAGGAGCACTCCCAGGGCAGCAGCAACCCCAGGGCTATCCCAGAGTCAGCAGCGACCCAGGATCCTCCAGGGGCATTGGTACCCCCAAGGGAACACTCACAGGGGTTGCAGCTACTTCAGAATGTCGTGGCCCCAGGGGCCCTCCAGGGCAGCGCCACCTGCCAGAGGCCCTTCCTGGGGCGATGGTGCCCTCAGGAGGTCCTACAGGAGCCACCCAACAAGCTTGATCGTGGTGACATACATCTTGAATACCTCCAGCAATCCCATACTTAACTGTGATTGGTGGACTAAATGTCTCAAATCCATCAATATTAACCAATAGGAGAACAAGAGGCGGTCAGTCAGCACAACACCCCAACTTATATGTTTTCCTGTTATATTTATTCTCCTTTACATTGTTCATGAGGCTATGATACTACAAAAGCGTTGGGAAGTGTGTTTATTTAACGTCACTTATCTCCCATTTTTCTGAATTATTGCAAACAAACTGTCACAGGGACTACAGGTGGAGTGCCTCCTGGGGGTGTTCCCATTTTCCCTACTAAGTCTGGCGTCCACTGGGGCCTTCCAGAGTGTACACCCACAGGGGACTTCAGAACGAGAACTCTAGAAGCCCTCCAATAGGTGGCAGCAACCCAGGGGCTCTTCCTGGGGCGGTGGGTCCTACAAGGGACCTCCAGCTGCGGCGTGACCCCAGGAGCACTCACAGGGGCAGCAACAGCCCCAGGGGTTATCCCAGAGTCGGCAGCGACCCAGGATCCCTCAGGGGCATTGGTACCCCCAGAGGCACTCACAGGGGTTGCGGCTACCAGAGGATACCTCCTTGAGATGTCGTTGCCCCCAGTGGCCACTCAGGGCAGTGCCACTGAAAGGCCCTTCCTGGGGCGATATGCCCTCCAGAAGTCACTAGGCGCCACCTCCCAGGACCCCTCCAGCAGAAGCAGTCGTGGTGTCCTTGCTTTGAATATATCAGCCTTCCTTACTTAACTTCTGGGAGTTGGTGGACTTCAAATGTAAAATCCATCAATATTAACCAATAAGGAGAACAGAGCAGTCCAGTCAGCACAACACCCCAACTTATGTTTTCCTGTTGCATGTTATTCTCCTTTACATTGTTCATGAGGGCTATGATACTGCTTAAAGCGTTGGGGTGTGTTTATTTACTTGTCGTCCCTGGGGTGATGGTACCCTCAGGGAGTCCCTGAGGGGCGCCACTCCCACCGAAGTCCTTAACGCAGCAGTCGTGGTGTCGCCTCTTGAATACCTCAGCGTCCTTCCACTAGCTTTGATTGGTGGACTAAAATCAAATCCATCTATTTAAACTAATAGGAGAACAGGCGGTCAGTCCAGCACAACACCCCAACTTATCAAACACTCCTGTTGCATTTTTATTCTCCTTTACATTTAATTTCGCTTCAAGGGAGCTTTCATAAATACATAAAAGAAAGCTTGGGGAGGTGTGTTTATTTAACGTCATCCTGGGGTGATGCACTGCCTCAGGAGTCCCTACCAGAGGCACCACCTCTCCAGGAGCCACCCAGCAGCTTGATGGTGGTGTCATGCATCTTAGTCCTCCAGCAATCACTTACTTAGCATGATTGGTGGACTAAAAACAACAAATCCAAAATATTTAAAAAGCCAATAGGAGAACCAAGGAGCAGTCAGTCAGCACAACACCCCAACTTATGTTTCCTGTTGCATATTTATTCTCCTTTACATTGTTCATGAGGCTATGATGCAAAAGCGATTTAGAGTGTGTGTTTTGTTAACGTCATATCTCCCATTTTTTCACCAAGATTGCATTGCAAAACCAAAACGAAATTCTGCCAGGGCCCTACAGGTGGAGTGCCCCTGAGGTGTTCCTTTTCTCTATCTGGTGTCTGAGGGCCCTTCCGGGAGGTGTGCACCTGAGGGGGACCTTCCAGGGGGCGAAGAGACTCACAGGTGCCCTCACAGGTGGCAACCCCAGGGGCTCTTCCTGGGTGGCTACAAGGACCTCCCAGCTGCGACAGTGACCCCAGGAGCACTCCAGGGCCACAACGCCCCAGGGGCT